CTATGTAATGACACTTACATCATTGCAACATCAAGTTTTGTTTGTTTATGGTACTTATTGACGGCTGTACGAAAAAACCGACTCTGGACCAGACAATCCAGTAAATTAACCCATGAGTGAGTGAGTGAGTCGGGTTTAACGCCACTTTTAACAGTATTCCAGTTATATCACCGCCACTCCATACCTGTAAATCATTTGAAATCGAACTCTTTGAAATTGACAAAAATGTAGGTTTGGAACTGCGACTTTTAATTAACAAAATTAAAGAAAAACTCGACCTCAACCGTAACCGTGGCAACAGTGGGTTAATAATTATAATTGTTAAAATGTTAAATGTGGAATGTGGAATTCAGAGCTCCATGGCCGTCAGGTGTATTCTGTGTATGTTTGTCTTCATACACTCAAACGTCAACACTCACCATAATGCATTGCTGTTTTCCACTTTTCAAAACTCATTTTTCAGAACTACCAATATTTCCATTGATTGGACTTTCTTTTGTGAAACTCGAGCATATGTTTCACGAGTGTTCTACTGGAATTATGTATTCTTTTCCAAATATTCCTAGAAAATCCCCTCTGTAAGAACACAAAGTCACTGGGGACACCCCGTCTGTCCGAACACCCCGTCAGTGGGGACATCCCGTCTGTCAGAAAACGCCGTCATTTGGGACACCCCGTCTTTCCGAACACCCCGTCAGTTGGGACACCCCGTCTGTCCTAACAACCCCTCAGAGAAGGACACCAAAGTCAGTGGCGACTCCCCGGCTTCAGAAAACCCCGTCAGTGGGGACGCCCCATCTTCAGAAAACCCCGTCAGTGGGGACGCCCCATCTTCAGAAAACCCCGTCAGTGGGGACACCTTATCTTTTCGAACACAAAGTCAGTTGGGACACCCTGTCAGTCCGAACACACTGTCATTAGGGACACCCTGTCTGTGAGAGAACCTCGTCAGTTGGGACACCCCGTCTGTTCAAACACACCGTCCATTGGGACACCCCGTCTGTCAGAGAACCCCTTCAGTGTGGACACCTCATCTTTTCGAACACAAAGTCAGTGGGGAACCCCATCTTCAGTAAAGCCCGTCAGTTGGGACACCCCGTCTGTTCAAACACTAAGTCAGTGGGGACACACCGTCAGTCCGAACACACCGTCATTAGGGACACCCTGTCTGTGAGAGAACCCCGTCAGTGGGGACACCCCGTCTGTTCAAACACAAAATCAGTAGGGACACCCCGTCTGTCAGAAAACCCCGTCAGTGGGGACACCTCATCTGTTCGAGCACAAAGTCAGTGTCGACCCCCCATCTTCAGAACACCCCGTTAGTTGGGACACCCCGTCTGTCAGAAAACCCCATCAGTTGGGAAACCTCATCTGTTCGAACACAAAGTCAGTGGGGAAACCTCATCTGTTCGAACACAAAGTCAGTGGGGACCTCCGCCCCCCTCTTCAGAAAAACCCGTCAGTGGGGACACCCCGTCTGTTCGAACACACCCTCATAGGGGAAACCTCTTCTGTCCGAAACCGCCGCCATTGGGGTGTCCGTCTATCCGAAAATCCCGTCAGTTGGGACACCCCGCCTGTCCGAAAACCCCATCAGTTGGGACACCTCGACTGTCTGACTACTCCGTCACCCCATCTGTCCCAAAACCCTGTCAGTGGTGACATCCTATCTGTCCGAAAACCTTATCAGTGGAGGCACAGCATCTGTCCGAAAACCTTGTGAGGTGGGACACCTCGTTTGTCCGAAAACCTCGTCAGTGTTAAAATCTTGTCTTCCCGACGTGTACGGTTGTGGTTGAGTATTTACATGTATACAAAGGTACAGTCCACTACATCCACGATTTCACTGGCAACGGAACAATCGCATTTTATATTTTCTGACGTCATACGAGGACTGCTTGTAACAGCAACGTGGAAGGTCACTCTGACCCAGGAAAGCATAGTCATCTGTGGCTTGTATACTTTTGGTGATGATACCCATGACCCTAATGCTACCCATGACCCTATTCAATACCTTCAGTAAGATAACCTATAATGACTTTAAGCGTTGTCTCCGATTGGTACACAGTAAGTCACTCGCCAAGCCGCTCACCCACCCAGCCACCCATTTTGTATTTTCAAAATTGTCATGAATGTTTTCCATCAAGAATTCAAGCATCGGGGTTATAGGATCGATATATACATTGCTAAAAGCTTAAAGTACAAGTTTCCATCCCTGGTGCATATATCAATTTGTACAATCGACAACAATCACGGCAATTGATTTTCCAAGCACCAGGGCCGGGCGTTCTTGTCTGTTTCTATTTGTCGGCCTGCAGAACGATTGACGCAGTTTAAAGTACATTTCGTTTCTTTTCACGCTTTCTCGACTAAAGATTAAAATCGATTAAACGCTATGTGCGACTCCAGAAACAGTGTTAAACATTCAGATAGCCAGTTAGCTACTGCATAACATACATTGGATTGGAGGTTTTCATTCCGCATTTAGAGTGTCTTCCTTTTGTTGTCACACCTAGTCGTGAATGGCACTTGTGGACATTTCAAACACGTTTGTTGAAGGATGACAACACACACATATATAATCAAGATCCTTTTCTTTATATCTCCTGAAAATATATCATATGAATTGGTTGCTTCAAAAACATTTGGCACTAATTTCGTCGTGGTCAAAGAGACATAATTACTGTCATTAGTTACTCAAATGGAATTTCTGTTACAGAGAACGCTCATCGATAAAAAGAGTTAAACACGCAGCAATGGAAGAAACATAATACAAAGTTCTGTGTGAAAGTTGACTTCATCAAGGGCGAATCAACCCCGTGAAGATTCCTGGTTAGAATTGGTCTTCAGCATGCTTGTTGAAAGAGGCGACCTACGGAATCGGGTGGTCAGGCTCGCTGACTTGGTTGATGCATGTCATCGTATCCCAATTGCGTAGATCGATGCTCATGATGTCAATCACTGGATTGTACGGTCCTGACTCGAGTATTTACAGACCGCCGTCAATATAGCTGGGATGTTTCTGAGTGCGGCGTTAAACAACAAACAAACTAACCGGTGGAGCATTAAAATGCGTTTATCACTGAAAAGATTATTCACTATACATGAAATATGACTAAGATAAGATAAGATAAGATAAGATAAGATAAGATAAGATAAGATAAGATAAGATAAGATAAGATAAGATAAGATAAGATAAGATAAGATAAGATAAGATAAGATAAGATTATAGTGTCACATATTGTACATAATAGAAAAAATATATATTAAAACCCACCAAACATTGAAATGTAGCTGTATAAAGTAAAAAATACATACATTTTCTACAGTCATTAAATACATACTAAATGTGTACAGAGTACTCAGGTGGATGTCTCAATCACAAGTAACAATATCGTCAGCAAGAGTAACTGATATAACGCTAGTAAACGTCCTTGCGGCATAATATAAGTGAACGTGTAGCTGTATGAGTAAGTACAAAATCAAGGGTTAAAGTCCTTTGTCTCACGAACGTATGTGGTACTCTGTGGCGCCGAGATTTGTTGAACGTAGTTAGGTCCCTTAGACGTGACAGGAACCTACAGTTGTGGGTTTGAATCCCTGAATCGCCCTGATTAATTCTCTAGGTTTGTCAGCAACCATAACCGTGCTCGTGGGTTTCTCCAAAGGTGCAAACGTCCAAGACCTGCATAATGTCGGTCTTGTCCCCACATTTAACCGAAACTTGCCACTACAACTGATCTAATAATCCATTATTTATCATATAATGGGCAGGTTTCTCGGCAGGATAAAGCCAACGGATAAAAACGATATCCGTTGGGGTCATATGCGGATAGAGATGCAAATATCAAAGGTCAAGTAGGACTACTTTCACTGTTTATAAACAAGCATGGCGTCGCCCTCGTCATTCGGCGATCGAGTCAGAATTAACCATCGTGAGTCTGGATAAACTACAGGGATAATTGCTATCATTATCAAACGAACAGTCTAATTTACTGAAAATCAGTGTCTAACTGTGACGTAGCTAAGGCATTTTATAAGTTTTGGCAACTTTCGAGATATAAATTTCGAAACAATTTTGCGAGGGCACGAGGCCTAGCCAAGCGGGATCAGTAGCCATATCTGTGCTTGTAGACCTCTGTGGCTTGAAACCTTCTCCACAAATCAAAATGGTTGGATTCGGCCGAAATATGTTTGAACTGTTACCTTGTTTCGTTTTGTCGCTGTGTGTACATCTGACTACACTTCTTAACGTTATGAAAGGACAGACCGACTGTCAACAACGTCTGACCGTGGCCGTGACGTCTCATAGACTAGAGTTAGAGTAGCTTCCCTTTGACAAAGGGCAGTTACTCTTGCGGACAGACCGATGGATTGTTTTGCCTATAAGTTGCTTCGCCACTGTATAAGAAACACATTTCAGTTGGAACTATATTGGCTACTGTCACTCTCCGACTGACACATCACTTACCCTGTGACGTAATAAATATTAATGCGCGCATTCCAGGAAAACTCGCAATGTTTCAGTAATGTTTGTGAGAGAGGGAAAGCGATTTTAAAGCACAGAATTAAAGAATGACATTATATGATCAAGAGGTTATCACGTTTGTGTGTTTGGGGATGGTAAATATCCTGTATTAGGAATAAACACTATGTATTTAGCTCGCCAAGGCTCGCTAAATACAATGTTTATTCCTAATGCAGGATATTTACCATCCCCAAACACACTCGCGTGATAACCTCTATGTATGTGGTTGTCATAAGTATGCGGAAACAAACGTTCGCTCGTCCTGCCGATATCCCAGGTTCGGTTGGTCACATGGCTTCAGTGTGCCCCCGTCGTGGTACGGGTACTGCTCGAATACTGCTAGAAGTGGCGTAAAATAATATGCACTCATTCACTGTAATCACATGTGTTTTGTATTTTGGTATTTTCAACCAAACTAACTGTTCATTTGGGGCATATTTCTGAATTTCATTATAAAAATCTGCACACGCGTGCTTCCTGGCGTCTCACTGGGGAATACTGCAGTTGAATTCCTTCACAGCATCTGCTCTGTATTCCGCCACATACAGTTTACAGTCACAGAACATCAAGCCGCATGGATTCTGTAGTCCATCCTGTGACGTCAGTAGGTCTCTGACAAACTCCCCCGTTGGTGTCAGTAGTACCACCCTGTGTGCCCGGGTGTCCGCCACCAGGATGTGTCCTGTGCTGGTATTTGTGATGCCTCGTGGTCCTCGCAGTCTCCTCTCTCCTGTAGGGGTGTAGGTGAACACAACATCGCCCTCTGGTGTGATACAGTAGACAGAGTGTGAACAAGCATCTGACACCAGGATGTTGCCCCTGTCTGTAGCACAGAGGTAGCAGGGGTTACATATCAGGTTCTTCCCAGTGTTGAATCTACTGACTGACCTCATCACTATCCCCGATATATCCAGGATGTCAACACAGGGAGGACACCTACAACCTGCTGCTAATGTTGAAGGACTCAAGGCTGTTAGGCATCTGTACTTCTTCTTTGTTGTGACACGTGACTGTAGTACAAGGTCAGGGGTCACCCGTACTATTACAATCTCATTGTGTGACCAGACTGATACAGCCACCTGGTTGTCCCTCAGCCTCGTCACAGAGCTTTTGTTACTTGCAAGATCCAGTTTACTGTGTCGTGATTTGTTATTCTTTGTGTAGAAGGATTTCAGACATTTATTGTTGCAGTCACTGACCACCAGTGTCTCCTCACCATCCACAACCAGGACTGTGACGTCATATGGATACGGTTGCTTCCTGTCGCCATCGACCTTGATGCCGACTGTCTTGTGTGACTTTATTGTGTCTTTGTTGTGGCTGATCTCATCAATCTGTGATTTGTGTTGTTGAAGTGATCTGCCCGTGTCGTCAAAGCTCTGTGTAATCAATCCCTTATTGTGTGCAAGAGCATTTCTCATCTCAGACATCATAGACTGAATAGTGACCACAGAGTCGCATTTCCTGTGGTATGTGACAGAACACTTGTTGCATATTGCTATATTACAGTCTTTGCAGCAGAATTCCGTGACTTCGTTGTGTTCCGTGCACCTCTGTCGTCTAGTGACCTTCACTGATCCACCAAGGTCAGCAATTACGTGGTTTGACGTACCAGGAAGAGATGCATGCATCTTCACACATCTCTCACAGAGTGGCACATCACAGTCTTGACAGTAGGAGTTGGCCGGATGACTTTCTCCAAGATCCTGGCAGGGGTGGCAGCGGTTTTCTGTATCTGAACAAGTCATGGATAAACCTGTCACATCAAACGTGCAATGTTTAACACAATAATGAGATAATGTTTGTAGGAAGATGTGAATGTACACAGGGTGAATCAGTGTAAATTCTGCCCATTGTGTGGTTCAAGGTATACAGGGTCCGGAAAGTACCTTGGATAATCTATATGTATAGATTTCAAAACTGAAATGACAAAGATTTATTCTAGATAATCCTGATAAATATAGGTGACCCTACAGTTTCGTCTTGATTACTTTTATCAACAATAAACAGTTTTCCATCACCATTTTGATGACGCATGAACGTACATAGACTGAACCTGGTTTGGTATTACCTCGGTCATTCAGGAAAGCAAACCTGCTGCATGGCAGCGTCACAGTCTATCTCCTATAAGATATTCTACTTGGGGTTCTTGGTTTCAGTGGAAACTGAATCGGTAATTCAAAATAGACGTTTAACATCGCTTTCAGGTTTATTGCACTTATATAGCGACGTGCGTGCGGGCCAATTTTATAGTACCAGCTCCCTGAGATAGTGGAGTTTAAAATGGATACCCCACGTACGCACAGTTTACTGACTTTAAAACTACCAGTCCCTCTTTTATCCTTTTAATGTCGAGCGCCTGGCAGAGTGACAACTTATACCATCTTTTGGTGAGATGCGGCCAGGGATCTTACGCCCCTGGGTAAATATTGTCATCTTTCGGCTTCTTCTAGATCACATTTACTTACCATGATCAGTATTTCCCCCACAGGCTAGAGTGTCCAGAAGTCCCTGTATGAGGAAACTGGGCTTGATCTGTTTCACCCACTCCTCCACTGGTCTGTCAGGCCTGGGAACTTGGGTCATCTGACGACAGTAGGGACAAAGGATGGACTTGGCCCTGATGGCGTCTTGTCTGGTCTTCAGGAATTTCCATAGGCAGACCTTACAGAAGGTGTGTCCACAGGTCAGAGTACAGGGGTCTTTGTATCCATCCGTACATATGGAACAGGTCAAGAAGTTCTCATTCAGACTCTCCAGCTTTCTGGCGGCTGCCATCTGAAACAAAGGAATAACTGTTTAATATCATTCATGTATTTTAGGTACTGGTGATTGAATGTTAATACATTTTTATTGTGTGATGTGCACATTTGGAAATATTGAAAATCTGATAGTTATGACAATATAAGTTATCATTGACACAAGTCACCAATCATAATACATGTAAAATGCATCTGAATATTTAACACTGAACAAGTGACTTGAACATGTTGAAAGCAAGGCGGGTTCCTCTGTACTGTCCGTCCTGCGTCAATGAGTTGGTGTGTTGTGCTTGACGCTCCTTTGTACAGTCTTTCAGTTTACTGTTTGATTGGCGTTCTAGATATGTGAGTATGGTTTTACGCCGCTTTTAGCAATATTCCAGCAATATCACGGTGTGGGACACCAGTAATGTACCCATGTTTGGAATGGAATCTGGGCCTTCGGCGTGACAAGCAAACACTTTAACCACTGGGCTACCCGACCGCCTGCAGCAGTTGGTGAGTAAAGAAGCAAACATACAACTTTATTTATAACAACTTCTGCATTTAGCGACGTTTGGATGCAGATCCTTACACTGTTATCAAGATGGAGTGTACAGTATTCCAGTTACATCTGAGTGTGTCAGCTTAATGTGGGAGAAAAGCCCGAAGTGACGCATGTCCAAGACGTTCACCACTTTGGCGAAACCCACGAGAGCTCTTATCACTGTCACTGCTAATTTCAACAACAACTATAGATCCACTGATTTCGCTGCTATTATTTCCAACCTTTCTATATCAGTTTCTAAAACGTATCAGCTCTACCCTTTTCATTTCACTTTTTAATTAGTGATTTTGTATTCTTTCCTCAGACAAAAACAAATATCAACATGATCGAATTGAGCTAATTCACAGATTAATATTCGATTTCAAAATTGGTTGAAATTGAAGAGAAAATTTTGATGGACTCCATTAATATTAACTGACGTCGGAAAGAAACTTTACCAACTGAAAATATAAATTTCAGACAAAGTACAATTTTGTTTTCGATAAAGTCCATCTAAAACACATAACCTATATACAACAATAGTGAATGCAGAAATGCAGAAATCATCTGTTCCATGTTTCCGAGATAACACGCAAAAAAGTGAAAAACACGTGCACCACGGACAACTGCAAATGTAAGTGCGGGTAAGGGTATAAAACGATTGAAACGACAAGTCAGACATCCACAGTGATAAAAAAAAACACAAAAGAAATGCCACGACTCCCAGTCGAACAACGTGAACGAGCCTTGGGTATGGTACAGATAGGAGCCACCCACGGCCATATTGCACGAACCTTCGGTTGCTCCCGTGTTGCCGTTACCAACTTGATGCAACGTTACAGACAAACAGGGCGGACCGCTGATAGGCCAAGAACAGGCAGACCAAGGGTGACCACGCCCTATGATGACCGGTACTTGCGTTCCTTGCACCGCCGAAATTTCTTCCTGACAGTGACGTCAGCGGCGACAAATGCCTTAGGTCACAGGGACAGTCGACAGACAGTGGCCAGGAGACTCAGGGCTCATGGAATCAGGGCTTTTAGACCATACAGAGGACAGCTATGGAGAGCGCAACATCGTCGTCTGTGATTGAGATGGGCCCGGACTGAACGACGTTGGCAACGACGTGACTGGCAGTGCGTTGTCTTCACTGACGAAAGTTGATTCTGTATGTTTAGGGCTGATGGAAGACAAACGTATTTACAGCCGAAGGGGTGAACGAACGGCGGCGTGTTGCGTGCAGGACACCGCTGGTCATCGTTGACGGAAACTTGACAGCTTACCGTTACATGGATAACATTCTTCGGCCAGTTGTCCTACCACTGCTCCATCAGCAGCCACGTGGTGTCATTTATCAGCATGACAACGCTAGAGCCCATACAGCCAGAATTGTCACTAACTTCCTCGCAGCCAGCATTGTCAACGTCCTGTCGTGGCCTGCACGCTCACCCGACATGTCCCCCATAGAACACCTCTGGGACTTGATGGATCGTCGTGTTCGACAACGACCACACTCTCCAGCCAACCGGCAAGAACTGATCTTGGCCCTCCAAGAAGAATGGCGTCAAATCCCACGTGATCTCATTAGACGACTGATTTTTTCTGTGCCTCGAAGAGTTTTGGCGTGTATTGAGACATTTGGTGGTCACACACGCTACTATTGACTTGTTATTGAACGTGAACGATTGTTTATGTACTCTTTATGCCTATTATCCATGATTCTGAAAGCTCGAGTTTTGTACCACATCAAACTTTGGGGGGCTCTGACTTTAAACTTTACTTCATGCATGTATGTCTTGTTGTTTTTGAGCAAGAGTGATTTCAAACTCTGGTAAAGTTTCTTTTCGACGCCAGTTTCACATAACTCCACACGCATTATATGAATATTGTTTTATATTGTTGAATATTCCAGAAATATGACGGTGGGGAAAACCAGAAATGGGCTTCACACATTGTACCCATATCAGGAATCGAAACCAGGTCTTCGGCGTGACGAGCGAACGCTTTAACCACTAGGCTACCCGGCCGCCCCAGGTTTCAGTGTAATCAATATATGAGAGCTTGTATAGGCGAGTCTGTAAACGGCGCTTAAAGATCTGGAAAGTTGGGAAAACCTTTTGTCCAAGTGGGAGACTGTTCCACTCACTTGCAGTGGAAAGATAACAGCACGGAGGCTAGTTTTGGTCCGATGGATACTGTCAGTTTTAAGTGAAGCAGACATTTTAAAAGCACCCCAACTACATCCCATGTTGCTTCAGTGTAAATGTCTTTCAAATACAGAGAAAGTTTGACAGGAACTAATTTGAAGCAAGTGCAATATATGATGCTGGCTTCTTAAAACTATAAATATACATCACAAAATATTTTCTTCTGACTGTAGAAACATTGGTCAGTGGGTTTGTATGATTGTATCACCTTACAGAATTCACTCAAACAGTTCTCCACCATGTTGGTCTCATGACATCAGTCTAGCGGCATATTAGTCAAATATTGTTTAAACAGCTTGAATTGTTGACAGAATCAATAGTTAAAGCTATTTATTTCAACATCCCCACAGACTTACACGTGTGCTAAATACTCTTCAAAGCATCACAACGGACAAGGCTCTAAAAGTACATGCTCTACTTTCTGTTTAAGTCAAGGGAGATAACCTGAAAGAAAACCTCTTTCAAAACTATTGTTGCCACACTGGAGTGGTTCAAGTCCATAAATGTAAGTCCGGTTTTACATGTAAACTTATATTTTCAATATAAACATTCCATGTTTGCTATTTTTACTTTTTGCGTCAATAAAAATTGAAAATAAAATTACATTAAATAATGGTCAAATCAATATTTATTTTGTTTGAAACAAAATAGACCTAAAAAGTTTGCAGAAAACACACAACTCCATATAATTGTGACATAATTGCGTCCCTCGTCTTTCGCTGTGTCCTACTTTCTTAACCATCCTTCAACGACCCAACCACCTTATAATAAATGACCAGTCCATTCATCATTCCGGTTCCATCAGGGTGACCAGAGCATCGTCCACGGAATAAACAAACAAGTGGTGATCGTAAACAACTGAGTCACTGTCAATGTTTGATTATCCATCCGGGTACTAACCAAGTATTGCTGTGGGTGTCGGGCAACAAACATCTTTTCATGAAAATTGTGTGATTGGCGGTTGTTTCTTGTGGGGCAAGACATGCGTACCCGATTCGCGAACACCTGTTGTCAGCACTGATTTTCACTTCTATTAATTTTACATTTTGCGCCGAATGGAAACTGTTTCGTTAGGTAATCGAGGCGGGTGACGTGCAAGGTATTCTTACAATCTAAACCGAAAGTAACTTCATTTCGACCTGGGTCAGAGTAGAATCCCAGCACTCGATATGACTAAACTGACCAGTTTCACACACTGGGAGATTATTTCTGAAAAACAATGGACCTCTCCAGTTTGAGGAACGATTGTATGTTCCAGCAGAATGCTACATATCTCTCCCACCTGTATTTCTTTGTAGTGTAACATTCCAACTTACTTTGTGTCCCGACACCCGTCTCTCCACCCGCCACAGTGTGATGTAGTGACGCAATGCGGGCTGGGACAGGTTTGGTGATAACCACGGGAACAGGTCAAAACAGCCATAAGTCAAACCGGAAAATTCAAAACGGCCAAATCAAATGTAATTCTTATCATGCATATACAAATAATACCTATATTAATAGTAATATAACATAAAACTGAGAAATGCGCTGGTATACTCTGACCCGAACAAAAACACATTTTATAACCTGTGCTGATATGTATTACACTCACTCACTCATTGAAATAAACCACTCACTCTCACATTACTCTCACTCACTCACTCCACTCTCACTCACTCACTCAATCACTCATTGAAATAATGTATGCATAACTTTACGCACCAGTGCGTCGTCTTCATTCGCCAACAGTGCATTTTGCCTTCAGTGTTATCAAAACAACCTTATGCACCAGTGATTTATGTTATTTTGATTTAACCCCTTCAGTTACATTGCGGACTCCCCCGGCAGCCGGTGAAAATAGAGTCCAATACAATACCCAAAACATAAAGGAAAGTACCATAATACCCAGAGGGTTGCGAGAGACATAATGTCGTTAACAGCATAAAATATACAAAGTAATGTTATTGTAAATATCGGAACATAAATATCGTGGTATAACATTTATACTAAGTTTATCCTATAATGATTAGATCCACATCAAGTGCTTTTATGAGTTATCATGGTGTAATATTTATACATCATTTCACATAATTATAGGTTAGCAAGTTATACTTATCATCAGGTAAAATGCATATTTAAAATATCAGTAGTTTTAGTTATAGCTTTTTAGATAGATGCTAACCTAAGGTAATGGGAGCGCATCTTCTAGACATACTATTCAATAAGACAAGAGTTACGTCTACATAGTTTAATAGATTTGAAGCTTTTAGATAAATACTAGCATAAGGTATAAAGATCCCATCTCCCAGACAAAAGATATGTCTACATAGTCTTATAGATTACCTTGAACTATTTTATTTCAGTAAATCTGTCATCACCTATATTAGAATAACATTCAGCAATTACTTCAATTTAGACTCATTAAGGATTAGGCCCCATACAAGCTCGTCTATAGTGCATCAAGGATTAGCCCCCATACAAGCTCGTCTATAGTGACACCATACTCTCTTTCAAAAGCACCCAGTAAATATGTCAACAAGATAAGTGCCAGTCTAACAGGATTAACAGGATTAAGTATTTCCCTCTGTCTAGCCATTCATATAGCATAGGGCAAAACACATCGTGGATCAACCAATCATATTCCTTTTTATTGTTCTGATTTTTGTTAAATGCATACTGTAACAAAATGTTAGGCAAGAAGGGGTTTGTCGCTCTAACCAAGCAGAACTCTCTCCCACACCCTAGAGGGTTGTACCGATTCTCTGTGACACCCCCAGCTATATTTTAAGATATTGTTCATTGTAAACTGTTCTTGTAAATAAAATTGTGATTAGTCTCCTGTGACTCCGGCTCTTTGCTGACTAATTCCCCCAAGAAAACCAGTAGCCTAGTGGTTAAAGCGTTCGCTCGTCACGCCGAAGACCCGGGTTCGATTCCCGACATGGGTACATTGTATGAAGCACATTTCTGGTGTCCCCCGCCGTGATATTGCTGGAATATTGCTAAAAGCGGCGTAAAACCCTGCTCACTCACTCTCTCACTCTTACTCTTGGCCGCCTGTGCACGCCTTACCTGTGACCTCCCATGAGGTGTAAGCCTGAGGGAGAGGGGTAGGAAATGTGTGCTCCTGCCCAGTGCTGAGCTTGCGACACACTCTGTATGCATGTGGAATAGAGTATATTGCACTTGCTATATTGTATCCTGCATGTGACACTTATTTGCGGGGGAAGTTACAACTTTCAAGATTCAAGATGCATTTATTTCTTATACAACAGACCGCCGTCATATCACTGGAATATTCCTGAGAACGGCGTTAAACAGCACACACAACTTGTTTTCAAAATGGAGCGCTGCAGTCATTTAAAATAGAACCATATACATATGAAGTACCAACTCTCTCACACTGTTTCGAAAATTCAGCACAAAATATATACTAACCAGCTGTGAGGTGAGGTATCAGACTTTAACAAGCTTCCGATTAAAGATGATACAGGGCCCCTCACTGATTAGGTTCTTTGTTTACTTAAGAGCACAGCTTGCCATGTTATATGAGATTTTTTTGTATATGAGATCATCTTCACAACTCAAATGTTTTCACAACATCAAATATCATACATACACATGTATTATCATAGCACTGTACATTTATATTCATCATCTTCATGTTTTATAACATCTGCACTACATCACTAATAGCAAAACTACAGTAATTTGATGAAATGTCCAACTGCATCCAGAAAATGGATCACTGATTTTCTGCCAGTAGCAAGCTGCTGCTTCAGTCTCTCGATCCTTGCATCTCGGACTCTGTCAAAACGAGCACGAGGTCTAATGGCACCGCCCAGTCCAATCTGCCTTCTTGACCGTCTATCTGCTGTCTCGATCTTCTGGAGTTCTTTGACAAACTGGAAGATGATGGGATGGGCTCTCGGCATTCTCTTCTTCAGGCCGTTGTGGAAACCTTCAAGATGGTTGTTGGAGCGTGGACCGGCGTTCTCGTGTTGATTCCACACGGCTCGAGGGAAGTCCACCCATGTGCTGGTGACGTAGTAGTTGAACCTGGTGATCTGCTGCCCATATGGTCCCTGCTCCACCATTTCAATCAAGGCATCTTGGACTTCAGCTAGGTGTAGAAGCGGCAACGCTGCAGCTCTTCTGGTGTGGGTCTGCACTGCTGGGTTGTCGGTGTAGTATCGGGCCAGGCCTCTGTCCACAACTTGTATCCACAGAGCCTGGGCGTAGTGGAGAAAAAATCCTTGGTTGGAATTTGCTGGAAAGACATTGTCTTGATGATGTCTTGAGAGAGGTCTACACCAGTCCTTGCGCCACCAACATCCTTCAGCAAGGTGAACAGTCGGACATAGGTCTGCTTGGTCTTGTTTGGGAGTAGGGAAAGGGACCAGACTTGTTATTGTGTGGTATGAGCTGTGACGAAGACTGTCCAAAAAATTAGTCCAACTCAAGTCTAAAATGATTGGGAAAGTCTAGATTGCCTCAGCACTAGCATGAAATAAAGAATTGTTATGTACTTCTTTTTGATTTTAGACCAATAGAGGACTAACCACTGTGTTCTACACAAATCTACACACGAGTGATTAATCTGTCACGATTAGAACAAGGCCTTGAGTTCTAATTGTGGCAGATTTATCACGAGTGTGTAGAGTTTTCGGTAACAACCGAACACAGTGGTTAATCCTTTTTATCCCATAACAATACGCCATAAAAGGTCGAGCTCATAGTTGAAGATTTCCCGTGTTCAGTAACCACTCGGGATTCCCCCCAGCCTCGTTTTCGAATATGCTCAGTGAGACAACTGCACCATAAACAGGTAAAGAGGATCTAGCGAAGACAACACACACGAGTTTTCCCGTGACAGGCAAGCCACTTGTTCGCATTCATGTTATGTTTTTTGTTAACTATTAAAAGCTGATGGGAGTAACGTTTTGAGAATAAGTAATGTGATTTGATATTTGTTAATGGTTTTGGATTACTCGGCCCATAACTTTATTTACATTCGTCTCGCCGTGACTATCATTCTCAATGCGCAACACTAAATAGGCCCAAATTTTTAGTGTATGTAAATAAGTTATTCGTTTATTTGTCCGCTAGAAACAAATGTTACAAACCCAATTAAGAGGAAATTAAATATTGTCTTAAATATTGTGAAATATTGTTAACGAAAAACAAGGGCCCAAGGAACTGTCAGCAGGATTGATCAGGCAAGATTCTATAAATACCAACTCAGGCAACTGATCAGCTGATTACTGCTTGGTAAATCTTCTCAAATCCATCAATGTATTGAATATTTTTTAAAGCATTTTCCTCTTTAAAATTAATTTTACAGTGAATAATTCAATATGTTAAATGATGATTATTTCATATCATCTTGTGGTGAGCACATGCGTTATTTTTCTTTTGAACATAATATTTAACATCATAACACCAAAAATGTTACCAAATGAGTTTATCTAATTTCCCCATATTTGTGAATGACAAGAAACAATGTGAATTTGACAAGCACAATACTTTATTGTGTGTGAAACATAAATACCTAGGATATGTGTAAACAATAAATTATTATTTCAATAGTTATACAAACATTTGCAGTTTAATACCCTTGTAATGTTACATTGTTATTTTACTGCAACAGTTATCTCCAAACCAAATCCTTTTCTTGTTTTATCAGATTAGAAATTAAGACTTACTGATAATAGATAATTTAAAATTAGCATTTTCATCTTTTCATCTTCATGAAAACAAGACTATTCATTTTAGTAACCTGTCCATATATGATTTTTTTTGTATAAAGTATTAAAACTGAAATAAGACACATTGCTAATGTTAAGAAATGAGGTTTATGGTAAAATGTTATATGACAATCTCTTGTTGGTCATTTCTTCATCACCCATAAATTTGAGATTTTCTTTACTAACCATGTTCTGAAAATTTACACATTACACATTATAATAATTTAAGGTCTCTGATTAAAACAGCAACACA